TTATCTCTGAAGCAGACGACTTCTCAAAAATTGTAGACCAGTGTAATTAGTGGTATCAAGCCCACTGTGATCCTTCTCTCATATGCACAAGTGCAAAGCTTAAAAATAAAAGGGACAGGGTGTAGGCAGAGAATGGATGTGTCTGTGGAGTCATGGCCTGAAGTGATCTTCATAGTAATGAAGCCTTTATCCATGCCTCGCTCCTGCAACTGCGAGGCAGGATTAAGCTGGCAGCTACACAGTGGACACTCATTAATGCAGGGCTGGATTCCACTGAGCTCCCTGTGCCCCTCATTTTTAACCTTACATGTAACACTATGCACCAGGGTTGTGCTGGATAAAACACTCATAATACTGGATGGTAAAGTGACTCTTACCTTTAACAATAACAAAGGAAATCCCCCCCTCAAGCTATGTGAGGTACATTTATGCACCCCATTTCCACAGTATCTGAGCACCTCACAATCTTTGTGTATTTATGCCCATTTTAACGCCCATAGTACAGCACGGTAGCCTAACCTATTTGTATGGGGAGGCAATGGCAGCAGCTTTCTCCCCTAGAAACGGCACATGTGCGGGCAGTTTTCACTTTGGAGCCTTTGTCTGTTCTGTCAAGAAGCCGTGTATTTAAATGGTCCCAAAGGATTCATTGACCCCTGGATCTGGGAATCAAATGTGACCAATTTTTAAGAAGTGTCTCGGTACTAATTTACATGATAGCTCATCATGGATACAACAAAGCCATTACAGGGTCTATCTAATAAAGCTGTGCTGCATGCATGTTTGAAAAAGACCCCAATTATTATACTCCCATTCTGCAGTGGATGCACAGGGGAATGAATCTTAAACTTTCTAGAGCTGTCACAGATATTTATAAGGGGGTGGGAGATGTGAGTCAGAGCCAATATAGGCACAGGAAAGTGGACGGTGACTTTTCTGAGGTCGGCCACATGTCGGTGTCAGAGCTGGGAACAGAACTCTTAACCTGCATCCTCATGTTCTAGCCACAAGGCCACATTCTCTCCTGGAAACTAGGTTTCAGACTTTGAAATCCAATTCACAGTTTGTTTGGTTTTTTTTTTTTTTTTTTAAAGAAAGAAGGGTGCTGGATTGTTTGGACTCAAGGATTTTTATTTTAAGTTCAGGCTATATAATGGCAAAGGTGGTGAGTAGAACTGGTGTGGAATTTTTTGACTAAATGGTTTTTAGTCAGAAAATGCTGACTTGTCAAAATCAAAACTTTTTGCAGGAAGGGATTGGCTTGATGAAACTTTCACTGAGAGAGGTTTCCTCAGGTCCAGGGTGGAATTTCTGGTCACAACAAGAGAGAAAGAAGCAAAGGCCCTAGGATAGCCTGGTGGCTAAGGCATTCACCTGGAATGTAGAAGACCTGGGTTCACAAGTCTTTGCTACAAATGAAGAAGAACTGGGATTTGAACTGGGTCACTCACATCCCGGATGAGTACAGTAACCCACTAGGCTATTGGCTCATATGGCTGTGTGTCTCTCTCGCTCTAATATTTGTGACGTTTCTGAAGGTCTCGGTTTCCTCCCACTGTGGAACAGAGAAGATTTTCTGAAATTTCAAATATTTTTGTGGGATGGGGAAATTATTTCCTGTCCAGCTCTAGTGGTGGGTAAGCCTACCCTTTGGTTTTCTGTGTCTCTGAACTAGCCTGAATTATGGTTCTCTGTGTCTCTGAAACTTCCTTTGCTCTGAATTAGGATGATAGGACTCTGAGCCCCTCCTGTCTAGGTAATACAGGATCAAATCTAGCTGAGGTTGGTAGTAACCAAAAGTTAATGATTGGGGTATATCAAGGAGTTGGAGGGCTGACTCCAGAAGACAGATATTCATGTCTCTGAACTGCCTGTGCCCCACCAGCGGTCCCAGCAAAAGGACCAATGGGCATGGAGCCAGGAGGAGAGGCTGTATGGAAGGTGCACCAGTAGGGCTTCCTGAGGAAACCTATACTACTGCCACTTGTAGTATGACCCGCTCACCAGATAGAGATTAGCCCAGCATCATTCGCCCCCAACAAATTCACTTAAAAGAAAACTCATGTATCTCTGTAAAACAAATCCAGAGTAACAGATGGAAAATAGGATTGAGCTGGAAGGTTGCCAAGACTGATCTAATATTATTTCAAAGGACTTGTTTCAAGTATGATTTGGGATGGAATCTCAGCATTCCTGAAGGACACGGCTTGTAATGTTTGAAATAGTAAAAGTCTGCTGTGAAGTCAGAGTTTTTTTCAGAAGTTTATTCCAGATGGAAACATGCCATTTTCACTATGAATTTACATTGTCACCTCTGAAAATGGTAACCTGTTTTTTGTCCAAATTATAAGACAAGAATAGTTAAAGTTTTACTGATTTTTTTTTTCTCACCATTTTGCCATCAGGGAGAATCTTTTTAGGCAGCTTGAATGTGAAAAGCCCCTTATTTCCTTGGTCTAGGATTCTAGTAAATCTTTCAAAATTTCAGACAGACTTTAGGGACGCCTACACATAATGGTAGATATTTGTACAGGACAGTTGCTGTCAGCTACCCATCTCTTTTTTTATAGTCTAATGGAGAGGAAATGGGTTCAGGAGGAAAAATAAGGGAACCCATCTCGGTGAGACGTCTACTTTGACTATGATCCCAGTGGGATTGCAGAACAGTCTTGTCTCCATTTACTGTTGTAAGCCTGGTCTTTCCTCACCTCTACTGTTTGGTTTAGCTTGTACTATTTAATATTGAATTTTAAGATCTTCAGGGCAGGGGATATATTTTTGTCTATTCTGTAAAACACCTAGCATGTTTTTGGACACTTAAAAACTAGTAATATACTGCTGGTGAAAGGAGCAGAGTTCAACAATCCAGGTGGTTGAAGTCCCATTTCTACTCTGTGACTCTGTTGACAGTGAAAGGTGCAAGCTTTGACACAGTGTCAACTAATATGCCTTATTCCTGACTTGATTGGTGTGTCCAATTTGTAGGGTGAGAAGATAAGGCCTTCCCCAGTCTCTGGCCAGCCTACTGAGTGTGTTTGGTTTTTGCAACATGAGTATATGTCCTCTAGGAAGTGGATTACAACCACTCTTTTACATGGATGACCAAACAGCCTTCAGATAGTAATGAAACCTAATCACTACAAGTGCAGGTTGGATTATTAATGGTGAACTACAGGTCAAAGATGTTGTATGAATTACCAGTCAGAGAACAAAACTGCAAATATGCATCACTCCATGGTCACCACCAGGAAAAGGGAGTCATTGTGAGCAATAGGAGAAGTAACATAATGTATGGATTCAAAACAGACACAAAAGAGATACTGAGCTATAAACTTTCATCAGACAACAGTTCAGCCCCAAATTAAATTCATATGTCATAATATGCATTCTAGGTTGGCTTTGACACTGAACATAAACTCTTGTCTTCACATCATGGATGAAAGTACAAAGCACAAGAAACTTTTTGAAATCCACCCCCTCTCCCCAAAAGTATATATATTTTCGTGATTTTTTTCTGCCTTATAGTTGGCATTCTTTCCCCTCCTTGCTGGCTGCAGAACGCACAAGAGGTGATGGGTCACATGCTGTATGGCCCAGTATCTGACAGTTTTTCAGGAGACATAAACCAGCTTACCAGAGTTTACCACATGAAACCCATCTCCAGTCTACAAAGTTCCTTTCATTCAGGGACAAGTTCTGCAAAGAGCAAGCCCCACAGTGTTTGTTTGCATCTAAGGCCAGAATTGTACTGCTGCCATGTGTTCCATTAACTTTTATCCTAATCAAACTGTCCATTCTTCAGAAAAGCATGGCCCAGGCACAAGTCCAATGCCTTCTTGTTTGCTTGTTTTCCCTCATTTAGGCACATATTCTGAATCCCTTACTCGTGTTGAATAGCAATGGGACCACTTCTGCAATAAGGTGCTTCTCAATATGAGTATTGGTGTCAGAGTCTGGCCATTAGACAGTATGCTTTTTGGAGAATGGAAATGTGTTTTATGCATGGCCCTATACTTCAGAGCCTTATTACAAAGAATAGTGCTTACTATTATGAGCAGTAACTTTGAAGTCAATAGGATTATTCAGAGTAGCATGCACTGAGCCTCGTAGTAAATGTTTGCAGGGTTGAGCCCTAAGGTTCTGAACAACGTAAGGCATAATTTTCATAAATAAGAGTAGCCTATTTTAGTAAATCTCTAACAGCATTTTATCAAATGGAAGTTTTCAATCCATTTGGCTTTTTCACAAATACAGCACATTCAGCCCAGGTTTCATTTCAGGTTTAAACCATTTTGTAGTTTAATTACGTCGTACATTTACATTCATCATTCCCTTTGCATCTGACTTTATGTTTGTCCACTTCATTATTGCTTACACATTTAAAGCCAGTGTGGTGTTTGGTGCTGTACAATAGACACAAGTAAAGATGGTCCATATCTCAGGGTTATGTGCTCTGCTCCCTGTGGTTACATAAGGCTTGCAGGAAAACCAGTCCAGCAAAACCACTTAAGCAGGTGTTTAACTGTATGCACAAATAGTGTGCCAGAATGCTCTGCACCTTGCAGGATCGAGCCCATTAAGAGCCTGATTCAGACCAGGTGTAACAAGGCGCAGTTCCTTTGACTTTGGTCTCACGTGCTTACCTCAGTTCTGTCTCCTATCCTGGTATGATTGTGTTTGTGATAAATGTTGTGAAAGGGGAGCTGTTTGTATGTTATGATTTCAAACTGCTTTTTGCCCTCCGTTACAGATTGAAAACCTGGCTGGATAATTTCTGCAAAGCACATAGTCTTCAGTAAGCCTCTCTTTCCCTTGTGCTGACGAATGTTTGGTAATCTATTTCCTATTACCTTTGCTTTCCCCCACCAGAAACCTGAATAACAATAAGATCAAGGAGATCCGAGAAGGTGCCTTTGATGGGGCAACAGGAGTGCAGGAACTGATGCTAACGGGGAATCAGCTGGAATCGGTGCAAGGGCGAATGTTTAGAGGCCTCACAGGACTCAAGACAATGTAAGTGTGAAACTGCTGAAAAGTATGGCTGCTTGTTTGGGAGAGCTTGGTTACAGCCTTACCTAATTACACCACAGTTATTAGACAGTAAATTCTTTGGAGCAGGGAATGAGTCTTACTGTGTTCACAAAGCACGGTGTATTTTTATGGTGCTCTGCGAGTGATAAGGTATCTGCTGTTTCTTTATAAACTGATTTTCAAGGATTAGTAAATTGACAGTGAAGCTGTCTTTGGCCAAAGCTGAGTGGATTTAATCATTTAGCTGTTTTAGTTAGTTAGAATTAATTAAGATCCTTTCTAAAATTCGACTTTTAAAATTCACTTTGGTTTAATTCACTGTGGCATTATCTGTGATTATGTCAGAGATAATGGTGACTGTATAACGCAATATGGTCTCATGGTGAACACACTGTACTAGATTCCAGGATATTAAGGTTTAAATTCCCAGCTCCGCCACAGACTTCCCATGTGGCCTTTTGCAAGCCACTCTGTTTTTTAAGTTTCCAATCTCTCATAAGTGTTAAGGATAAATTCTTTAATGCATGTGAGGTTCCTACAGTGATGGGGTCACATAAGTGCCTAGACATATAGACAAACAGCAGACACTGGAAAATGTATCATAGTTTGCTTCTGCTCCATACACCGGAGATAAAGCTTCCAGTAAAATCAGAAAGAATGATGGCATGTGACTGACCACTTGACAGATATCCTGTTTCCACAATCTCTCTGTTCTAGGAGGACATAACATCTGAGCAATGTGACTTCCCCCTGCAATTGGCTCCAAAATGCCAAGTGGAATTTTAAAAAAGCTCAGTTTAGTCACAGCAACAAGTGTTTCTTACTTTGCAAAGTATCATAGTGTCAAACCCTTCAGTCCTACACAAGCAAAACAACCCTGACTTGGAGGTTTGCCTGAGTGAGGACCTCACAACGTGGCCCGTAGAGACAAAAACTGGAGAACTTTTCCTTCACTGTTTCTTCAACTTTTGCTTTTTCTTTGGCTTAGTCCATCTGGTGTGTGTTTTACTGAGAAACTTTTAAATACTGTTTGTGGATACTAAATTAACTTTTTGTGCTATGAAAGCAGCCCATGGCAGGGCTCCCAAACAAAATAAGTATTTTTTCATAGAAAGATATTTAGCATTTGAGCTATGCTGCTGACCTGACCTGCATTTCCCCCAAGCTGCTAAAGCAGTCTAAATATACACAGCATGAAATGAAAATCTGTAAGTATAAGTTTTCCTTCAGAAAGGGCACCCAGTATGTGGTATAGAATCCAGAATTGGCTTCAGAGACATATATTTGGATCTATAAACCTGCATTCTTTGAGCATAAAAACTATAGCCTTAAACCAAGAGGCCATGTTGGACAGAGGCATGCATTGATTTTGAAAATCCTGTGTGCTTCTATAAATGTATTAAATAGTTATAGAGATGGACAGGCATTTAAAAACCTTCCTAGCTATGTGAAGTTACCCTCTAAAACTTATAGAATCCAAAAAACACGTCATTCTGACATATGACTTCAATATAACATATTTCCAGAATTGACCTAATCTAACCAGGGCCTTAGACACCCCCTTCTCTTAGAATAGCATGTTCTTTCTAGAGTTTATGGCATAGATGGAACCGTTGCATGAAGGGACAAGTTCCCCCCAACTTTTTGGTGTCCTGTTAATATCTCTTGTCATGTGCTTTTTGGTCTCCCCATTTTTTAACATGCTCTATTTAACCACTGCTTATGGCACTAGGACACATCTATTTATATTATAGGTGACTGAGGTGATACAGTAACTGGATTTGGAAGTATATCCACTTAAAACTTAGTGTCAAGTCATGGCCTTGCACACCAAATGTCTGATTAGAATGTAAATATCTATACCTGTCTTGCTAAATCTAATCTCTCTCAGGCAATGGTAAAGTGCCTCCTATCAATGTAGTATCCAACTGCCTAGCTGGCTGGTATCAGTGTGGGATGTGACAACAGGGTATATTGAACTCAATGCAGACTGCCTGGATTTCAAAGCAGAGAATTATTTCCCCTTTAGTTTACATGCTTAGATTATTGGAGTGGGAGCACATGTTCGCGTGTATTTTGGGACTTTCTGGTGGTATTCTTTAGATACTGAATAATATTTAATCTGAAGATGAATAGTGACATTAATGTACCACTACATTATTTTATATGAAATGTGACACATGCTTCATGAATAGCTCTAAAGCCTTTGTGGCTATGAAGCAAAATTAGATATTATAGTATTTCAATTCAATTAGGCTTTACCATCAAATTCATTGTTGCCATAACAACTCACAGCAGTGTATGTTCATCTGGTACAAGCATTGAGCAAAGAGGCATTTTTTGGGGTCATAACTTTTTTTTTCCCTCTGGCTGCTATAGGAAAGTTAATGATGATAATAAGATTTCAGAGCTTGTTTTGGTTTGGAAACCCTTTCCTATACCAGACATAAGCTTACACTGTTGTTGTCTCCTTTCATACTGTTTAAATACAATTTTTAAAAAACTATTTAGGATAGTCATTTTGTTACAGCAATGTAAGTATTGTTATGCTCAGAGTATAGCCAGAGTCCATATCAGGTGGCCTCAGAAATCCATTTTAGATTACTCCCATACTCAGTAAATTATTAGACTTTTAAAGCTGACTGCATGTCTGATGCTGGCAAAGGTTTTTGGTCCCACTGTAATTTCAGCTGCAGAGTGTTCACCACTCTTTAATGCCATGTGTGAGCAAGTATAATAATGGAGTTTGAGATTCATAATGGTACACATTTGAGGTGAGAAGGACTCTTTGTTAGCTATTTGTACTCTTGATAGTCAAAACAGAACAGGGTCTGATGCTCGTTTAGCGTCAGTCACTGTCCAGTATTACAACAGATGGATGTTAGAAATGGCATTCGTGGACCCCTGCCTTTAGATTAGGCCACCACCACCACCTTCACTACACTCTCAAGGAGTATTCTAATTCCATGTCTGAATCTTTGCAGGATGCTGAGGAGCAACTTGATCAGCTGTGTGAACAATGACACCTTCACAGGACTAAGCTCAGTAAGGTTGCTCTCTCTGTACGACAACCGCATCACCACCATCACTCCTGGAGCTTTCAATACACTTGTCTCTTTGTCCACGATGTAAGTAATCCTTTTAGTTTTTTTGATGGTGCCACTGTCCAGGACTGCCTGGGCCGAGGTGGGAGGGAGGGGTCCATTGCGGCCTGGCACTCAGGTTTGGCCCGGCCACTGTGGACTCAAATCAGCACAAGAACCCCACGAGCCAGATTGCAACACCAGAAGAGGGGAGCTGGGCCCAGCTCCATGGGACAGGGGCCACCAGTACGGGGTGAGTGTGGAGTGGGCTCACTCTTCCTACTACCCCACTGTTGGAGCCTTAGTTACGGGGGGTGAGGGGCCTTCAGTTTCAGATTTTGGCCCTGACCCCGAACATCTCTGTGTGGCCCTGCTATTGTCCCATACTTTAAGAGAATTTGTTAGTTGTGAAATCAAAGTGTTTGAGTGTTCAGATGAGGAGAACCATCTTCTTTTTCTTTTTTAATTCACTGAAATTGAAGATTTGGAGAATTTAGAACTTCTGCGACTGCTTTAGAGTTTCCATGCTCAGTTTCAGTTTGGACAGACAGAGAGCAGATAAAAGGGTTGTGGTTTTTTTTCAATTTAATCAAAAAACCTAAATGTCAAAAAGTTGTTCTATAAAATGAATAACTAAACCTAAAAGGAAGGGGAGCTCAGTTCCCATTGGAATTTGCAAATCCCAGCCTAAACATTTGCAAAGAATTTTCAAGGTTTTTCTATAATATTTCTGACTTTTCTTCTTATATATTTTCTGGGTTCCTTTCTTAGTGTATCTATTTTCATACAAGTACTCATTGTTAAATAGAGATAGAGTCTGGTCTGTGCTTCCAGCTGTGAATGGGAAACTGGTGCAACTGTTAATGGAAGTTGTCTACTTAATCCCATCCACTCTGCACTGAAAATGCACCCTAACTATCCAAACAAAACAAACTCTTTGTTATTATAGCTTTTTTTTTTTTGGCTCGAAAGTAACCTCTGTGGTGTTTACTTGTTTTAAATGAGGAGTATGTGTTTGGTTTTGGGGGGGGGGAAGGGGTGTAGCAGAGCAGAAGTCTTGCAATGTTTTGTTGCTCCTTCCTTTATTTTTATCAATTTTGTTAATAGCCTTTCCCCAACCAGCCAGTTCATGCTGTGGCATCTCACCCTTTGGTAGGAGGGAGAGAGAGGTAAACAACCCTCCTAAAAGTCACCCTGCAGATTGAAGGACAAGGGCACTAACTACAGTGGAATTCATTTTCCCTGGTCACCATCTGCATTGCTCATTCTTCTATATTGGTCAAACCATACATTCCAAAATGTAGTACTGCACATGTGCTTTTCTGTGTTGCCAGCATTCCCAGCCTTGTCTGCCTTTTCCCCTGCTTCTTGCAGTTGCCTCCATGCTCCATGCATCCCCTATGCATGGAGCGACGATCTCGAACTAGTCCCCAAGAATCATGCCTTGTCTGCTTTTAAGTCTCTCTCAAAAACTCACCTCTGCTATGCTGTCTACAGTGAATCTATTCAATTTTTAACAGTTCCCTCTGTTTCCCTTTTCCTAATCTCTGTGTGCTTATCTGCTATTACAAGTGACCTCAGAACAGGGAACCATCCCTCATTTACTTACTCTTGAATGTCAGGAAAGGAACTAGCTCATCATATGCTCTAAAATAAAAGGTATGTCAACACAGCAGCTGGAAGTGTGTTTCCCAACACAGGTAGACAGACAGGCTGTCTCTAGCAGAGCTAACGTGCTAATAGCAGAGTAGCCATAGTGGTGCCTCGGGCTAGCCGCCCAAATGCAGTCCTGTCCAACCCGCTGGCTATATACTCAGGTGGCTAGCCCAAGCTGCCACCTTGCCACGGTGGCCACACTCCTATTTTTAGCAGCCTAGGTCAAGCACAATTTCAAGTGCTATGTAGACATAAACAAATAATGCTGATGTTTCCCTTTGTTTACACAGTTCACTGGGTTATTGGTTGCACAAACAAGGCTGGGAGTAATTTGTGATTGTGTCATATTTAATGGCAGGAAAGAATTTTTCACCTTTGTGGGTATTTTTCAGCTGCACATAAAGATTTTCACAGCCTCTGGTAGTGTGTTAAAGCTGATGATAATTGACTGAGCTGCTTTGGCACAAAAATGCCTTTTAGTAGTCATTTTGACCGTGGAAGACGGACATTGTGTTCCTATCCATGTTTGAATTAGGAAGTTCACTCAGACAGATTTTCATGTAGGGCTTGATCCAATGCCCCATTCGAGTCAATGGCAGTACCCCCATTGACTTCACTGGACTTTGGATTTGGCGTCATATCATTCAGATACATGCCTTGTCTACACTTATGGCAGCGAGTAGAGTACAGGCACTACATGTATAGCTACACGCTGCAGTGAAGGCAGGCTGCATCCACTCTTGTCACTGTGGTGTGTAGCTACCCGCAGCAGTAAAAGGCTCTGGTGGGGGAAGGCAGCGGGGAGCTACTGGGTGCAGCGGGGCAAGGCTCTGGCGCGGGGAGGCTGCAGTACACTGCACTGGCTAAAAATAGCAGTGTAGACATGGTAGGCACTGCCTGGCCATTGGTGTAGGATGTAGGGTATTTACCATAGGGTTCAGGTGTGCAAGGCACTCTGCTCTCCTCATCTAAACCGTACCTTACCATCTACACTGCTATTTATCCCTATGCCAGCAGAGTGTGCAGTGTCTGTACTTTACAGGCGCCATAAGTGTAGTCACACCTTTACATGCAAAATGAGGAACTGTTGTTTTCCCAACCTGTGTTTCATAACAGCATTCCATTATGGCTGGCTGTGCCTGAGTCCTGATGCTACTAGAGATTAAATATTACTTTCATGACTTAGAGAGTTCAGGTCATTGACTGTCCTATTCACCCTAAATTGTGAGGATTAATCAGTGTTTAAGTTTCACTTTTTTGCCATTTATTAATACAAAACTATGAACCACACCATTTTATATTCATTTTTATAATAACCACTTATAAACTAACATTTCTTTCCATTTTTTATTTGGGAAACTATATTTTGCCTCATTCACTAGATTGAAAGCAGCCTTGTTACTTTTTGCTTACAGTCATTATCCTTAATATTATCAGAAAGTATGCAGTTCTGAAAATAGCACTCAAAGGAATGGTTTCCAGCAGAGGGAGCACATACATTTATTTTTTGTGTTATTGCAAAAGCATAGCTGTTTTTATGATTTCTTACTACCAGTGGGATAAGTTAAATAAATAGATATTTAGGTTCCCACTTTTTAGGTATGCATGCAGTTCTGCAGGCCCAGTCCTAATGCATGTATTTTAATACCTAGGCAAGCATGTTTATCCACAGTGGGCTTTGCATGAATTAAACATGCCAAGAGGGCACACTTACACAATATTAAAATATCAGCCTAGATTTTAGAGTGTGTTTCCAAGCTGATTATAACAGTATCAAGACAGGCTGCAATTTGGAAATTTTCCTTTTAAATATTTCAGTTTCCATAGCTCTTCGCAAATTTTAATAAAGACACTTCTGGTTGACTGGCTGCTTCCTTATTTCAAGGGCTCTGTCCACCCCGCTATAAAAATATTCTTGTATCTTTGACTGAACCCTTTTAATAAGCCACCTTTGCTAAAAGCCTGATTGCCCTGTTTCAATGTGAGTGGCTATATTATTATCATTAGGTATAGAAAATCTGATTATTTAATTTTATAGCATTTTAACTGTCAAACATTACTGTTTGTGATCTGAAAATGCCCACTTTAATAGCCTCAGTCAAACTCCATCCTAACACTGTTGCAATTTATTGTCCCTTACAGGCTTTCAAATTGCTTATCATCAGAAATAATTTTGCATAGTGAAGCTTTTGTTCCATGTGATACTTAGATTCATTGACCTAATGGTCCTGCCAAGTGGCATCATCACGTTTCCTTGGAAACAGATTGAGCTGTTTTGGTACCAAAATATATCTGTATCTAGTTTTCTAATATATACCGTATCTCAAAAGGGATTAGTGAAAGGATCAGTATATTTGGAAAAATATTAAGTTTAATTAATTGAGTGATATTTATTGCACCATTACATATGAATAATCCATGCTTCCTCGGACAGTAACATTAAGAAAAGATTTGGTCATTGTTCCCACCATTGACTATGCAATAACATTATCAATTTTCCTCCATAAATAAAAGTTACACTTGAATATTTGAATTACAAAATTTGGACTAGAACCAGATTATTGGACTTTGCCAGTCGTCTGGGTGTTTGGATCCAGGGTTTTGGAACAGATCCATCTAAGACTTACAATAAATGGGAAAACCTGAAGCCAGGGGTTACATTTAACTTCATGCAATCACATAACATCACATATTCAGTTTCCAGCCCTCTGAATATGGTGCCAAGTTAATCTATAACAGTGTTTATTTTTAAAAATAAAATTAATTAAATGAAATCATCAAGAGTTGCTTAGATTACTGTGACGTGTGAATGTATGTTCTCCATACCAGAAACTATATGAAGGGTGAAATTCACCCCTGAGCAGAGAGACTGCTCAAGGCAGTTGCGTCACTTGAGACCTGTATGTGGCAGTGAAGTGCCAAGAGGCCATGTACTGTCTGTAAATTGAGGATAATTTCACCCTGAGAAAACTTTACTGTGTAACGCTAGGTCAGGCAATGCCAGAGTTGGGTTGCCTTATGCTTTCCCCAGCTATGTAATTCCTAAAATGCCCAAGAGGGGAACTTCCTCCTGTGCCCCTTATTCTTGATCCTGCAAGCTGATCTGCATGGGTGGACCTCCACACTCATGTGGAGCCTCTTTAACTTCAGTGCGCTCCAGAGGGGACCAAAGGGTCCCTGAGCTTGGATCACCTTGCAGAAATTGAAGCATGTCCTCAGCCCCAGTTCCCTTTCAGCACACCTTGCTCAGCCCCACCATATCCTGCCTAATGTGTAGGGAAAACTTAAAACCCTTCCTCAACCCATTACTTTTCTCTAGACACTAGTTTACCCACAGAAGCTGACAAATCATAGAATGATAGAAATGTAGAGATGGAGAAGGAACCTCG